AGGGGTTTTTCTCTCCACGGGTTGAGGTTGACCCTGGAGTAACGTTTGGGGTGGGTTCAGGGTCTCACCCCCCCCTCACCCCAGGGGCCGCGGGGCCGGCGGGTGCCTCTGTCGCTTTGCGCTGTGTCTGCTGAGTATCTGTCGCGTGGGGGCCGGAGTCTGTCACCAGTATGTCACCAGTATGTCACCAGTATGTATGGCACTAGCATGGCGGTAGCATGTCACTAGCGTGTCCCGTGTAGCCTGTACATGCCTTCACCCCCAGTATTTTTGCAGCGCGGAGTAACTTCCCAGTCGCCCGGTGGCCAGAGTTACGGCCCCGGGGAATAATTAGCCTCCCCCGAGTACTTTTTGGGGTGAGAAAGGTGGATATTGGGAGTATCCTGGTGGCTGGAGTATCCCCGGTGCGCGCCTGGAGTAAAGCTGGTGTAAGGACGGGGTGTCCCTTCTTTGGCCCGGGGTGGTGTTTTCCTGGAGGATCTCTGGAATCTCTTGAGTACCCCCAGAGTATCCTCCGAGTATCCCCGGTGTCTTTAAGGTGTTTTCCAGGGGTGTTGCTGGAGCAAGGAAGGAGTATCCCTGGTGTAGGCTGAGAGGGGGGGTGTGGAAAACGAGTAGCCCCCCAAGTAACGGGGATGTGGCTGCAGCCCCTGAGTGGGAGGAAGGGATGAGAGCACTTGGAGTAACTCTGGAGTATCCCTGGAGTATCCTTAGTGTATCCTGGGAGTACCTCAGGTGTATCCCAGGAGTATCTTTAGTGTATCCCGGGAGTATCCCTAGAGTACCTTTAGTGTATCCTAGTATTATCCCAGGAGTATCTCTAGTGTATCCCAGGAGTATCTCTAGTGTGTCCCAGGTGTATTCCAGGAGTATCCCTAGAGTATCTTTGGTGTATCCCAGGAATTTCTTCTGTGTATCCTGGGTGTATCCCAGGAGTATCCCTAGAGTACCTTTAGTGTATCCCAGGAATATCTTTAGAGTATCCCTGGAGTATCTTTAGTGTATCTCTGGTGTATCTCCAGAATAAAGCCTGGAGTAACTCAGGAGTATCCCTGGAGTATCTCGGGTGTTGTTACACGTTGTCCCCAGAGTTGCTGCGTCTCAGGAACATACCCCCAGTAACTGCAGCGTAGAGCCTGGAGTGCCGCAGCTTGGGGTGTCCCCAAGAGAGGGGACCTGGAGTAGGTGAGGAGGAGACCTGGAGTATGTGAGGAGTATTCCTGGAGTATCTCTGGCGTGTCTTAAGGCGTATTCCTGGAGTATGTGAGGAGTATTCTTGGAGTATCTTGGAGTATCTCCAGTGTGTCTAGAGAGTAGACCTGGAGTATGTGAGGGGTAGACCTGGAGTATCTCTGGGGTGTCTTAAGATGTAGACCTGGAGTATGTGAGGAGTATTCCTGGAGTATCTTGGAGTATTTCTGGGGTGTCTAGAGAGTAGACCTGGAGTATATGAGGAGTAGACCCAGAGTATCTCTGGGGTGTCTTAAGGAGTATCCCCAGAGTGTCCAAGGAGTATCCCCAAAGTATCTCTGGGGCATCTAAGGAGTAGACCTGGAGTATCTTAAGGAGTATCCAGGAGTGTCTACGGGCTAGACCCGGAGTATCTCCCGTGTGTCTCAGGAGTATCCCCGGAGTATGTGAGGAGGATCCCTGGTGTATCTCAGGAGTACACCCAGAGTATCCCCGGTGTGTCTAGAGAGTATCCTCTGAGTAAACAGCCCGATGCGAGTGTCCCCGGGGTGTGTACTCTGTGTACCCCCAGAGTATTACCCAGCGTAACCCTGCACCCTCCCC